TCTGCAAGGTGTATGGTGTATGTGTTATTTGCTGGTAGTATGAATTTTGAATAAAGCACTTAGAGACACAAAATTTTTACTAGATGTTTTAAGAGATAAGAGGGAATCCAAGTTTACCATCTATTTGGGACAGTAAGACAAAAAAGAAGCAATAAAAGAATACATTTTATTTTTGAAGAGTCAAGTAAATAATAAGAGGTAAGTATCTTGGCACATGAAGAAACATGATAAATGAATAAAGGAAAAACTTGCACAGTGTTTTACGTCCTACTTTGGTGAGCAGCATCTGGGATCTTAAAAGCTCATGAGAAGCTGTCTAAGGTGCAACTATTGGTCTCTGCATGTGCAGAAGAAAGAAGAGTGATGACAACTGAAGATGTTTAATCCAATGGACAAATAGAACAGGTGAACATCAATCTCCATGACTCTGAAACCAGAAGAACTAGATGGTGCCCAGCTAACACTAACAACTGCTCTGAAAGGGATCACATTAGAAGGTCCAGGAGAAAGTAAAGAATATGTGGAACAAAGCTCAAAATTATTTAAAAAAATAAAATTTATTGGTCAAAAATGGACTGGGGGAACCTGAGACTAGAGTCCTTGACCACCCTTCAAGTCTGGAATGGAACTCACTCTCATGGCCCAACTTTCATCCAAGCAGTAGATAGGTATACAGGAGGGATGACAACACTAGTAAGTTCTGTTTACTATGGAACAATCAATCATTCAAAAGCAAAAGGGCACAAGGACAAAATCACAAGGGCATGAGGCATAAGGACAAAGTTGAGAGGGGATTGGAAGAAGGGTGGAATGCCAACTGGAATCACAGGGAGGAAGTGGAATAGCTGTTGTTGCATGGAGGGGATTGTGATCATTGAGATGAAACAAAGTGTATCATTTGTTGAAATGTAAAACTGACGATCTTATCTGTAAACCTTCACTCAATTCACAATAAACAGTTCAAAAAAGAAAAACTTCTGGGACAGAATTACTTTCAATGGGATTCTTGAAGTAACTGACACATTCAGAAGAGATGAGAGTATTTAAACAGCCATAGAAATGGGTTATGTGAGGGGCTGAAAACAGGTGTGGTGGGCAGTAACAATAACAATCCAACAAATAATATTTATTGAGAACTTATTTTGTGCCAGCATGAAAATTTAACTAACCTAATCCTCAGAACAGCCTTATGCATACATGAATACAAATGCATACAATTACCATCTTCATTTTACAGATAGGGAATAAGACAGAGAGCTGAAAACAGTATTTAGGAAAGCTTGTGATTATGTTCAAGGCTGACGAGCCAATGTAGGGATGGTGGTTACATGCCGTGGAGTCAGTTCTGACTCCTGTACAGGGTTTCCAAGGCTG